ATATGCTGACTCTCTGTAAACCGCTTAGAGAGGCCTGAAAGGCCTATGAAGCGGTATATAAGTCCACTGCTATTGCTATTGCTATTGCTATTTCAATTAGCATTGATATAACCTATTGAAACATCTAGGGGAAAAGTTATTTATTAAAGTCTCATGTTTTCAAGAATTTCAGGGCTCTGAAGCCAGTTGGTTCTGGCTTCTGTAGTGTAGTGGGGATGCTTTGGAACAGCTTCATGACAGGTACTAGGTGAGGGTTTTTTGGAAAACGTTGAAAATCAAACTGTCTTAGAGATAATTTTCTTAAATTATACATGATGCCATTGCCATTTCTTTTCCCCTTTTTTTGGAACAAAGGGAAAAAAAGTTATTCTTTACTGTTACTTTTGTTTCAGATTTGGATATTGTAACTTTTTATATACTCAGTCAGTCTCTGAAAGTTATATGATTGCAGCAGAGTAGAAATTAGATATATTAGTTGAAGAGAGAGATTTAGAATGAATGATGATATCAAAGGAGAAGAATTAGTCAAAAGTACAAGGGGTAGTCAAGGACAGGATGTTTGGAAGGAAGGATGTATGGGGTCAATGTTATTTACAAGAATCTTTCTTGATTGTTTTTACAGCAAGCCCAAGGAGCCAATGTTCAGTGCAGGTAATTGTTTTCTTTTCTTTATTGTTTCATAAAAATATATAACTTTTGTTCTAATAAAGAATATGAAAGACTTTCTCTAAATGATTGGTTAGCAGAATTATCATACTTTGGCTGCTAAATCATAACATTTCATTGTAGTGATTACTGAATTGCAGTAAAGTTCACACTTTAACAAACTACTTTATTATATTAAGTTTATAAGCTTACACTTTTTATTTGCTATTTATATTTCTACCATCTTAAAAAAGTATACAGAAGGCTACATAAACAGAGAGATAGAATCAAGATCACGTGAAGTGTTAATACTACTTTATAATGCCTTGGTAAGGCCACACTTGGAATAGTACATTCAGTTTTGGTCGCCACGATGTAGAAAAGATGTGGAGACTCTAGAAAGAGTGCAGAGAAGAGCAACAAAGATATTAGGGGACTGGAGAATATATGAAGAACAGTTGCAGGAACTGGGTATGTCTATTTAAATGAAAAGAAGGACTAGGGAAGACATGATAGCAGTGTTCCAATATCT